TGTACATATTCAGGGTTGGGGATACCATCAAATAGCCCTCTAAACCTAAGGCATAGAGAAAAGCCCATCTCATTACACAGTTTTATGTGGCTGGTAACCTTCCTGATCACCAGTTATTGCCTGATTGTTTCTATCACTAAAATATGATTTAATTCAGCACTAGGGAAAAAAAATGATTTAGCTCAGAACTAGAAGAGCATACAAGCAATTTGATAAAATGTCAGTCTTGTTCAAATTTTTCTGCTGTATAAATTGAGCGCTAATGATCTCAGCTCCGCCACCCTCATGTATTTATGCAGCCTTTTTCATGTTTGCTGGCTTACTATTGATTGCTAGATAAAATGAAAAAATAGAAGTTCATGCAACCTAAACTCCAGGGGCCTTTTAAGACAGTTTATCCAGATTGATGGACATCACTTATTCACTACCACAATTTCACACTATTCACTGCATTCACACAACTATCATCAGAAGGCAGGCATTAAAAAAACCAAAGGCAGACAATGGACTCTTTACAAAAAGGGTGCCCAGATATCTCTGACTCCTGAGTTTGGTTTATAAATGTAGTAGTATCATACACAAAACTTCAGTTCATCTTTTTCAAATAGCATCAGTGTTTTACAAGCTTCAAATATAATCTTCTTTCATAAGAATAATGCTGCTTTATACATTTTACTTCTTTCTTCTGGAAATCCAGTGATAGATTTTGACAGTGAAGCTCAAACCTAGATAAAGGTTAGAATAAAGTGGACCGGCTTAGTATAAAATAGGACATTTCTTGCTGCTAGTGAAGCTAAACTGGATTTGCTCCAAATGAAAATAATTTCCAACAGCTACTCACTCAGCAGCAGCATCTAAAGAAAACGAAGGCCATAATGCTACAAACATGATGGAATACAAGAAATAAAGGCAAGATTCTTCAAATGAAACCCAATTCCATTGTCTTTCACTTAAGAGTTTTCTTTCCTTAGGAATTTTTAACATTCATCGAGAAAATGTATACATCAGAAAAAAGATACTATGAAAAGTTAAACATTCAGAAGTGTTGCAATTCATTGGCAATAGCATATATTTCTCTCTCAAATTACAAATAGAATTTTGGCCAATAATCAAATCAGTTACTACTGCAGAAGCAAGCGAGCAGATAACTGTGTGGTTTGGGATTATAGCCATCCTTTCTACTTCTTGAATATCTCTGAGCCAAACATCCCAAGTTTTCATTGATATCAGTAAATGTGCTGCTTCTCTAAGATAAAAATTGCTTCCTGTGGCAGTATCCATGATGCCCAAGGGTTCCCCTTTAATCCATATCACCATGCAGCAGCAGCCCCACCACTGGTGCCATCATGTCTTTGGCCACAGTTTGAGACTCCTCTGAAAGTTAATTTCAGAGCTCAGCATTTCTTTAAAGCCCCCAGTGTTTTCTTGTAGGTTACAAAGGACAGCCTTCTCCAGCCATCAGCATGTAAAATGATGATAAAACAGTTTCTGTGACAGCGTAGACCGCATGTCCAGAGCTGGTCAGTATTGAGGGACTTTGAGGTTTGCCTTTGATCACTGAGGAAGGGCTATGGGCTTCAGAGCTGCTCTCTTTGGGCTGGGATATATTAACACTGACTCCACACACAGCCCTCTCAGGTGGCCACTTACAAAGAACACAACAAAGAATTTGCATTCAAAAGAAGTAACAGAATAAAAGGCACAGGATGTTTGATTATTTATTCTCTAAAGGCATTTAACACTGCTTCACTGGGAAGATACTGCTCATTGCTTGTATACAACATGTTATCTTCAAATACTTGTTTATATTAGCAACGGTAAAATGGCTTCAGAGAAGATAAGTGACTTGGCTAAGACCAAAGAGGAAGCAAGTGTGTGATATAAGCTGAAAAATCAGTTTCTCAAGGCTCAGTGATCCAATATAAGCTCAAAACCTGGGGCTTAGTGTAGCATTCTATATTTATTCACCATTTTATCTTCTTCTTTCCTCTCATCCATACAATCAAGATGTATTTTTATTTTCTCTATTTCATTAAAAATAAAAGCTTGATATTGGTCCTTATGCCCTAACTCTTTCACAGAATTAAACAGTCAATCCATCTCACATTCACTGCTTGAAATATTTTACTGCATAGAAGAAAAGTCTGAGAAGGAAAAAGAGCAAAGGTACCCAACACTGGCCTATATAGTTAGCATTTTGCATCTTCCAGAATGATCACCTTGGAGATCGTTTCCCATGAGAAGAGAGGATAGAGTTTACTCTCAATATAATTATTTTGAAACAAAGAATTTTCAGTAGTTGTGTATTCATTTATTTTTTACTTGTGTTTGCTTTACATTACTGTTGTTTCTTTTTTGATCTGTGCATCCTATATTTTCCATCTGTTCAAGTCATGATTTCCAGTCCAATGGAGCAAAAGCAATGGTAAAAGCATTTTGCCAGCAGCCCTTGGCCTTGCTTTATGAATACAGTTGCCAAGTCTTGCTGCCACTCAAGCTAGGACTCCTAAATGTAAGAGACAGTTTCAAAATAAAGATTAATACTAGTACAGTTTTCTCATAGAAGTTATATTATGGGGAAAAATCTTTGCTTTCCTTTCCTTTAAGAGAGAGATCAGCACCCTAAAAGACCAAATAGATGCAGCATGTTCTCACACTATTGATATTTGCAGCACAGGAGCAGCAAACGTGAAGACAACCAATATCCATCACCATGCACTCACTGTATGCCTCAGGAGCTCTGCTGTACTGCAGCTGCAGACAGAGGACACGGCATGGAGCAGTCACTATAACCAGCACTAGGTTAGAAAAGGGCAAAAAGAAGAGGCAGAGAGATGAACTAACTTGCCTAAAATCACACTGGAAGCTTTTGGCATATTGGGTACCAAATCTATGTCTCCTAGAAGAAATCCAATGTCTTCATCATATAGTAGTGGCTGGCAGTGAGCCTCTTGTACATATTCATCAGGTATAACATCATTTATGTTCTTTGCAAACTAAGGATCTAGAAAGATTCCCCTCTATTCCTGGGGTTCTCTTCCCAGCTTGGGAGCACTGAATTTGAAAACAGCCAGAATCTTAAAACCAAAAATCAAATAATTTTTTTTTTTCAGAAAATTAACATTAGAAGCATTTATTTAGAAGGCTGGTGTTCTATTTTCATCCCCATTTAAACAAGATTTTTGAAAATTTTATAAAGCTACATATACTAAAATTATCTTAGTTATAAACCACCTCTACTTTTAACTGATCACAGTTCACAGAAATACGGATGGCTTTGAAGTCAGATTTCTAAGACACTGAATTCATGGTGTATGAGCCACTGAAGATTTTTTAACCTTATTTCCCTGAGATAGAAAAGTTTTTTAATATTTATGTTTAAGTGCATCTTCAAATGTAATAGCAGTCTCCATGTGTGTTTGAAATTATGTCCTTTTAAAGTCACTAGTACACAGAAAGCTAGAAAGATGTCCCTGAACATTTACAAACTCCAAGGAATTCAGATTGTGTGTTTTGAAACCAGTCACTCACAGCAACCTGAATCTCTGGCAGATTAACTCAAAATGAAAACCTGCTATGGTATAGAGAGTGGCTATCCTCCTAGCATTTATCCTCTACCAGATGAAGAGGAAATAACTGTCCTCAAATCAGCCACCAAGTGTTGTGGTTATTTGTTTTATATGTCACATCTTTATAAAGGAAAAGATGAGCTGATTTATATAGCAAATCACTTTCTCCAGAAAACCCATACAAATCACCCCCCCCAAAAAAATTTAAGAATGAAAAGATTGAGCCCTGAAACATCTACATGAAAAGAGACAGGTTTTTGGAGTTTGAGATGTATAAACACCAGAGGAAAGAGATTATTTTGTCTCAAGTCAGAGTAGGAGCTGATTCCTTAGGTAAAGGCACCCAGCACTTCCAGCATCCTCCACAGCCACCAACTGCAGTGCATCTGTGACATTTGTAAAAGGGAGCAATGAGCTTCCTGTGTTTATGAGGCACCTCCTCTTTGGGATGCAAGTTTGCGAGCCATTGGGAACCTTGGCAACAGTGCTCATTTCCCAAACAAACACTCAGGACGTGGCAGTCCATCTCAATAACCACAGTACAACACGGCTCCAGTTCTGACAGAGCTGCTGTGACTCACTTATAAGGGCTGAAAGAAAGAAACCAGCTCTGCACCCACTATTCTTCCACGGTACTGTCAGATACACAACAGTGCTGGCACACAGAGCCTCAGACTTGAAAAGACAACCAGGCACTCTCACTTGCATGTAATGCACAATTGCTCTCAGTTACCACAGTACAGCCTGACAGCCTTTGATCTTGGATTATTTTGAATATGTTTGTTCTTGGATGATATCAGCAGTTACAGTGAACTTCCCACTAACATTCCAAACCTTGGAAAGCGGCACTTCGAGTGTAAATTCAAAGTTATACTCAAAGCAGGTATTTTTCATTTCCAGACTTGGTCTTTGTATGTCAATAGTAGCATGCTTGAGTTTCCAAAGTATAAAACAGAGACAGGTCTACAACAAGCTGTGGGGAGTTATTTAAGCATATAAATCCTGCTCAGATACCTAATTTTTGCTCGATTCCTATAAATACCTTTGTGGATTTGAGCTTTACTAATTTTAACGTAAGTTCAGTGAGATATTAGGAGTACCACAAGTGTCAGTTCAGGAGAATTTAAATATTATCTCCTATTAGCACATAAATGGGTCTCAGGTCTACTAATTTAATATTTTTATAAGTAGTATTCTAAGGCCTTTTGTTAAAATTGTCCTTTCACACTGAAAGAGATCACATCTCAGCAATTCATACAGTATTAAACTGAACAGTACACAAAGAATCAAGTCAACCAACTGTAATTCAGTTTCTATAGAGAAGTAATTGAAGAATTTTAGTGAAATTCATACATGAGGAAGTGACTTCCCAAACCAGGAGTAGGAAGAAAAAAAAAAAAAGGAAAGGTACAGAAGAAAAAATAGCCTTACCTCAGTGTGAATTGATCTTCTGTTGAATTTTTAGCAATAGATACAAGGAAAGTCAAGATGTCACCTTGCTTGACAGTCTTTGGTGCATACCAAATGGCAATATTATTATCCAACCTCATTTCATTTAAGGAAGGGACAGCACGTGTCTGGTAAAGGAAAACACTTCCAATCCTCTGCAAGGGAGGTCCCGACTCATCAATGTCATTGCGCCCTGGTCGGATCCCATTACTTTTCCTAACATCCTCCTTGGTGCATTCCCCTTTCTCATCTCCTGGTTGTATGGCATAGTACAGCTCCACAGGACTCCCTTCAGAATGCTCCATTGGTTTCTTACGGCCAGCTACAACAGTGGGGGGGTTAAACCAGCCTGGCAGCAGTTCCAGCTCTGCCACACACAGCCCCAGGTCCCCCTTCAGCCTGCAGCTGCCTCTGACTTCCCGCGTCTCTCGGAAGGCGAACACCCGCAGGCAGGGCAGCCTCTCCGTCGTGCTGTAGTCATCCCAGTCCCTGCCCACAATGTAGAACAGGACCTGGACTTTGGGCTTGCTAGGGTAGATTTTGTCACTCATTATGAAGGCCTTAAGTTTCCAATTAAATGAGAACTTGTTGGTAGATTCAAATGGATTTGAAGACAACATTAAGTCCTGGGGCACTACTTGTTCAATGGAAAAAGGTCCATAGCTGGCATTTAGCACAGGTGGCCTCTTGGATTTGTAGATGAGAAATGACTCCACTCGCGACTGCAAGCTAGAATTCCTCATGATATCCTGGTTGGCTTCCTTAAGAAAGAAGGAAACATCTGCATTGTGGATACGATATGTCACAGGCAAGTAAGTTGGCAGTAAAGAAAACCTCTGTATGCTTTCCAGGATCCCTCGACTCTCAGTCACTGTTGAAAGGAAAGGAAAGTTTAAAAGATCAAATCTTCAAATCATACTGTGACATAACCTACCTGACTTTAATGAAGGCTTGACAATGATGTAGGTGGTACTAGTGGCAATAATAAGCATCATCAACTCATGCAGAAGTAGCCGAGGTAAATGGTGATTTATCCAGCTTACTTGAAAAGCAGTAGGGTTTTCTACATTCTATACGACAGATAGATAAAAAGAGTAGCTTGGATAGGTTTGCTCATGCCAAAGGTCACATCTTCACTTGCAATATATATATGTTAGCAGAGAGCAAAATTACCCAGTCAGCAATTACAACATAAGACCACTGCACAAGCACATTTAAAAAAAAAAATGCAAGCTGCACCCACACAAGAAATCAATGTCATGATTTTATATCAAATACTACACGTGGACCACTCAGACTCCACTTCAGCAGTCTTTCCAGCAGCATCAAGCAATGTATGGTCATCAAGTGACTTCCTGCACAAAGCTGAATTTCTCCTGGAGAATAGTTAGCACAGTAACCAATGCACAAAAGCTCCGTTACAATACTCTGGTACTACAAGATTTCAAAAGAGTTTTATTTATTTGCACCCCATTTATGGCCCCTTCTGTTTAACTGCATTTATGAAAAAGGGTGCTGCTTTTTTCCTCCAGTAAATAACCACCAAGCCTCATATCACTGCTGTTGCCCAACCTTACATCGTTCCTTAATACAAATGCATTATCTGTAGGTTGTACACCACTGCACATGGAAAGAACATTTTCAATGACACTGAGCCTCTCACTGTGAGGCATCTATTTTAACTGTGCCACCAAGCAATTACCTGAGGCAGGCTATCATATTAAAGAATCAACTCTCCATTCTTTCTCAGAACTGTCAGTCCCAAAGAGCAAAGACATACATTGTTAAAAAATACAGATGTAAATACAATACGACCTTCCCTGTTTGAACATCTGACCTTCATGCTCACGTCTTCACAGTCCAATTCTGCTATAAATTGCATTATTTTTCCACAGTAAATTCAAATCTGTAACCTTATTCAGAAAAGTGACAAAAGGTTTACAAGGATGACATCCAAAAGCAACCCAGTTTCCCGAGGTGTATTCCACAGATGTTTTATTAGCCCTTATTATTGGTTTGGAATCTGACCTAAATATTTATTGCCTAGTTAGGAAGTGCAGTGGCCTAATCTGATGACAGCTTTTTCTAACTACCAATCTCTCTTTTATGTGCTGCAATTCACTGTAAAATGGCTCAAATATGCTTGATGAGGCTTGTTACCTTCAGATCCTATGGGAAGGTATTCTTTAAAAAATGGTTGCAGACTGTTCACCAAAAACAAACTGGAAAACGCTGCTCAGAGCAACAACCATCTTCTCCACCCACAGGCAGGATGACCTGAGAGGGAAATTTGCCTTTGCAGGAGATGAGGGCAGAGGAAGCCGTGCTGCTGCTCCCCATCACCAGTGTACTTCCACAACAAAGCAGCCAATGCAGATCTCGCTCAGATAAGAGCAGGAACATCAGAACTATTTTGAAACCCAAAGCTTTTCCTCTTCTAAGAGTAAACCACAGCAATTCTTTGGATACAAAACTACCCCTTTACTCTAGCCTTGGTCTTCGTATCATTTGGCTTCCACTTTCTCTCTCTCCAGACACTCCAGTGAGTGACAGCAGCTGAAGTTTTTAAAGACCCTCTCCTAAACAATCGCCCAACAAAGATCCAACAACTCTAAAATGGCTTTGCTAGTACTTGGAGTTGCAGGGATGCATCTCTTCTATCCAGCCCTAAGGCAAAATCTGTTCTGCTGTTGTACTTCCTCATATCACCCAGCCCATAACATCATTCCTCCATCTAATGTCCCATTTATAAATTCCATGCTCATTTTGTCCTCCTCCCAACAGCTTGGCAAAGCACCATTAAACACAGTGAGGCATCAAGGAGGCAACTTAGAGGAAAAAAGCTCAGGGTATTCAATTTTTTATTTCCCTTATTTTGATTGCAGCTCCCTCCCTTGCATTCCACAGGGAGAAGTACATTATTTTTATATTAAAACTAACAGAGTGTTTCGCCTCATAATTTTTTAATCATTTATTTTAAAGCTTAATTACCTAAGGGATTAAAAATCTTCCCTCTATATTCCCCATCTCCACAGGACAGTGTTCCTCAGAGTTTGTAAATCAATGACTGTTCAGAATAGAAGTGCTTAATAAAAAAAAGAAACAGTCCCACCAGATTGAGAAGGGTCCATTTGTTTTTAAACTCCTGGGCAACTGCAAACTGGTCTGCTCATGGCTGTGCTTTGCCCTACCAGCAAGCTGTCACTGTGCACTGAATTCATATTCATGCTGGAAGCTGACAGCAGCTTTCCAAACAGCCAAAGGCCAAACATTCAAACAATTTTACACTTTATCTAGGCAGAGTTATAATCAGCACAAACAAAAAAATACTCAAAAAACTACACTGAGTTCTGATGTACCATCTGGATTTTGACCATGAGAGTTTATTAAGGATTCTGAAAGATAGGAAATTAAACACAAAAACTACCAGAGTCCTTGATTGCAACCATGGCAATTTCTGTACACATTATGCATGTTTGCAGCAAAAAGGAAAAATTGCAGAAGATTACAATTGGGTATGCTTTCGGATGAGACCCAGATTCAAAATTTTCAGTTACACCATCTACCCTATATATTACATCAAACCTTTAACATCATAATTACAATTCCACAGGGATAACCCAGAGGAAAAAAAAAAAAAAAAAAAAAAATCAGTGGTACCAGGTCAAAACAGCCTTTAAGGAGTTCAGTTCATCCACTGTAGGGTAGATTCCCAGCATACAGATGCAGCTCACACAACTTGGAATTCATTAGTTGTGGCAAGCTATAAGATCAGTTTCTTAAGCTGAGGCATCGTAAGGGAAAAAGAGATTCTTCCAAGGGACTGCAGCAGGCAATGTTGGGTCCTGAGGGACTGCTGCTGTGCAGCATTACTGAACTCGAGGGACTGACCCTGCCCTGGGAATGCATGATTTGGCTGCTCAGTCTGCTGAATATCTACTGAACTTGTGGACTGGTGTTGCAGTACTCTGGTTCCAGATGAACCGCAACAGTTTGAAACAAGCCAACACAACCCAATTCTGATGCTGCACTTATGCCAGGAGCTATTATTTCTCAACCCCTTAAAACTACATCTGTATTTGATCTCTCATGCTGTGAATGGTTTGTTGAGGATTTCAATCAGTGGCCACCTGGGATGAGATGCTGGAGGATGGTGGATTTCTTTCCTTTCTCTTTAGCAAGTCTTCACTGACTGATGCTGTTTAAAAAGTAAAAGAAGCAAATTCCTCGCAGGTCAGTGAACTTTAAAAAACCCAAGAAAATAGCAGCATATTCAGTCTTCTCCCCCACATCCAAGGCCTGTGCATGTGATATATCCCTGAACATGACACTGTAAACATGCTGCATTTATCCTCCAAGAGTTCAGACTGCTTCCTTGATTAGGCTATTAACTTTGTACTGCAGTCTGGCTAAAAAATCTTAAATCTTTATTTCTTTAATATCATGTAACAGCAGCTTTCGGTCAATGACAAAATCACTATTCATAGCTCAGTTTTACTGCAATGTTATTGACCATGGCTTCTGAAAATTGAAGAAATCTGACAGACCACTAACTTCATTCTGTATTGTCAGATCCTTGGGATTTCATTGCCCTAACACTTTATTTCTGAACTGTTCAATCCATGACCATACATTTACGATAAATAAAACACTCTTCCAATCAATTATATAATATTACTATTTACAAAAAATAATTGCTTTTTTCTTATGACTGGTGGGAATAACTTCTTAGGAAAACTGCCTTACCAGCTGCAAGACCAGACTGGTAATAAAATATATGAAGTTTACTGCTCTCTCTCTGAGATTGAGATAGGTGGTTCTTTCCAGTCCAGAAAGAAATTCTATATTTTAGTTACTTTTGGACATCAAATCTTCTGAATGTCTTTCCTCTCCTGCATACGTAATGCCTTGGAATTTTGTCTTTGATCTAATACTCCACAATGCTACAGGCTTGCGGCAGTGGCTGGACAGCTGTGCAGCAGAAAAACATGTGGAGTGCTTGACAGCTGGCTGACCATGAGCCAGGAGTGGGACCAGGTGGCCAAGAAAGCCAACAGCATTATGGCTTGTATCAGAGATAGTGCAGCCAGCAGGACTAAGGAGGTGGTTGTTCCTCTTTACTCAGCACCGGTAAGACTGAACCTAAAGTACTGTTTTCAGTTTTGGATCCCTCACTATATTTATCATGCTCATAAAATAAGATTATCAGTCAGAAAAGATTTTTTGACAACAGCTGTACAGTGTGATGGCAATATTTTCTTGGAGCATCTCATTTTACTGAAGTTTGTAGAAACCCTCATAACTTTATCATTGACGTCTGGACAGATTACATCCCATCATTTACTAGGCGAGAGATGAACAATCCTAAAGTTATTTTGTTATTCACATTGACAGACAGATAAAAAAATCATTTAAACAGAAAGGCCCACAGAGGAACACACACAGCTTTATATTACCAAGTGATACAAAAATGATCAGAGAGAAATCACATAACAAAGGAAAGTTCCCACCTGAAAAGGCAGCAAAGTAATAATCACAGAGAAAAATATTGAGATGAAAGGATATGACACTTTCACACAAGATTAGATGTCAGCCTGAACATGAAAGGGCAAAGCAGTGATGGACACCACAAAGTTTATACAATAAGGAAGAAAATAATACAGTCACAGTAAGTACTGAGCGAAGAGTAACTAAGACTTTTCCGTAGCCCCAGATGTAAAATATCAATAATCACAGAGAGAGGTGTCCCCAATCCATCAGCTGCATGTGATACAAGGAACAAAAGGACATGAAACATAAGATGGCATCACACCCCTGCGTGTTGATTACAGCAACTCACTGGTCCACCTTGACACACACACCAGGTCTTGG